TTAGTTTAATGTATGGGTCAATGCTTGCAAGTTGCTTATGGCAGGTAGTTTTTTGGTAGTATTGAAAACCCTTAGGAAATGACTATGTCTCAGACATGTCTTCCAGCTGTAGCTGACTTTTGGGGTTTGAGTCTCTTGCAAGATCTTACCTCTTCATTTTATTGGGAATGAGAAATAGCTGTCTATTTGGCTTAGCCCCTGGGTCTTTGACACTGGCCTGTAGTATTGTTTATGACCTCAAGTAATCTCAGTCTTGGCATACCTGGAAAAATATCTACCTAGAACAATTATGTCACCTTGGCTACAGTAGTTACAATCAGTAATAACAATAGCATCAAACACAGCCTAGAAAATGACAAACTATTGTAACTATTAATTTGTCACCTTTAACCATATGCATGAAGTTTATGGTTATATGATAAAATCTAAAAGCAGAAAATTGTATATAATAAATATGCCCTCATATAGTCAATTTACTTGAGGTGAGATGAGGGGGTTAAAGGCTATAGGGGGGAAATGTAGAGAAACAGAAGAAGAGATTAGAAACAAGGCTATAAGACAAAGGAAGATTACCCAAGCTTTGGAAAACTGATGAAAAAGACAGGAGGGAAAGAGAAAAGGAAGAAATAAAAACAAGAACAGAATAGAACAATAACAACAACAAACTAGAAACAATGTTCACACTCATATTTTTTTTAAAAAATCAAAAAAGAAAAGAAGGAAAAAATGTCCACTTCAGGGCATACCTCTGCTGTCACTGATAGACAGAGTGGGCAGACAGAGCCCAGATCTGTGTTGATTAATCCCAGCCAGCCAGCCATAGATTTACAGCAGGGTAGTGGATAATCCCAGCATGCTTGCACCTTTAGTTCCGCTAAAGTTCAGGCTAGTTTCTGGCTGTGAGGCTGGAACCTAACTTGTTCAGACTGTAAGACTACTGTGTGCCTCTTGCTGGCTTGAACTCACCTCCTTATCCTCCTACCAACTTGACCTTGTCTGTGCCTCACCCCGACCCTGGGAGCTGCAAGATGAAGCCAGCCTACAGCTGCTCTGAGTTCTGAGGGCCATTTGTCCTCTTTCTGAGGTACATCTGAACCCAAATAACTCACCAGCTACTGCAGTTCACTGCATCCACTGCTCCATTCCACTGGTATGTTTTTTACATAGAGACCTCTGGGGTCATCAGTAGTTACTGTGCAGGTGTCAGGGCCCAGGAAGTAAGCACCACTTGCTATCTTCTTCTTTGGCTTTGAGGTCTCCTTCTTCACTCTCCTTGGGGCTTCACTTCTTGCTTCGGGTCCTTACTGGGTCTGAGGAATGCAATCCCTCCTTCTTCTCCTTGTGTTGCTATATTCTAGCACTGGACACCAAATCTTGAAGGGGCTATTTCTTTGCTGTTCATCACTCTGTCATCTTCCTAGAAATCTCCAACTCAGTTTCTTGAGTTAGTATTTTGAATTATTTTCCCCTATCTTCTGACTGCCGCTCATCCTGCCTCCCCAGTGACTGCTAATTGAGTCAGCAAAACCCAGAAAATATCTCCCTCTGATTTCAAATGCAGAAACTGCTAAGCAAATGTCTCCTTATTCTCAGAGGTAAAGAGTGCTGAATAATGAGCTGGACTCTTTCTCTCCAGTTTATACCATGTAGCTATCTCTTACCTGCTCTTCCCTGGTGTGTTTCCCTCATGGCATCTTGGAGCAGTGAGACAACTCAGCCTCCAGTAGGACATGACAGCAGCCCTGAAGGGCGTTCTGGGTCACACCCAGCTGTTCTGCTTCTCAGCTTCCCCATGAGGAGGCCACACTCAGATTTGGTGGCTATAACAGCATACTCTAGGGTGGGTTTGGAGGAGAGAACCATGGTGGAGAGATGCATGATGCAGGTAGATCTGAGTATACAGAACAGCCCTGGAGCTGGCAGGAGAGGAAAAGTTAGGGGCAGGATCTCCTTTCTCTAGATTGAAACCTCCACAAAGCTTCAGGAGAAACTCACATTTCTGAAAGAGTGGTCACAGGTGATTCATAGCTCGGTCCCAGAAATAAGCACACTTCCCAGCATGGACTCAGCCTCTGGTTCAGTCCTCTTTGCCTGCTGTAGACTACAGAGTCTGCTGCCAGTGGACCACTTGGAATTCAGTTTGTGATTTGGAGAAGAGCGGATGTGAGGATGTGAGTGACCTCAGAGGTATCTAGGGTGCTGGGGGGTATTCTGGCCCTACCATTCCCTCTCCTCTCTGTGCCATTGGATTTAGTTGGGGCTGCAGTGCTGTACAATGATTTTTTCATTCTGAAGGCACAGTCCCAGGGGCATGCCGAGAGTTCACATGCTGCAGACATTAAGTGGTGACATCACCTTAGAGGAGCCACCAGCATGGTCAGTGATGAAGAATAAAGGCTTTGTTTGCTTTATGAGATCCCTGAAGAAATATTGAAAGTAGAGTGGAGGGGAGGGAGGAACAGTATCCTTTATCATGATTGTTGGAAAACATTCCTCCAGCCTTCAGTGCTTCTGGCGTTGGAATTACCACTGTTCCCAGATGTGACTCTATGTGCTGTCAGGGCAATGTCTGTCCTGAGTTTGAGTCCAGCAGCAGGGTGGCTCATGCTGATTCTCCTGAACCCTCATTGTGGGATCCCTCCTAGTAGTCCAGCAGGTTTAGTGGGCTTGCTCCCAAGCCTCAAGTTTACTGGCCCAGATGATCAGTCTGTCCTTCACCTCTGATTGTTCTGATCTTGACATGGAGCTGCTTTTACCTAGTCATCACAGGGGACACATAGATTTACATGCAGAAGACATGTGGAATTGTCTCAAAGGGCAAGTGTGAGTGTTGTTAAGTCTTAAGAGCAGCTTTGGAGGTTCTAGCAGGGGAGCACAGCTACTATATACAAGGAGAACAAGTCCTCCTCTATCAGGGGCGGTCATCCTTTTCTGCCAGATCAGCTATGTCAACCCTGGAGATCAGTGGGGTAACAGATTTCCCAACCAGATCGCCCTCACCTCCTGCTGTCTTAACTGGCTATGGTAGTTGCATTATGTGATGTGGGAGGAGGAGGTAATGTCACAGGCACAGCCCTTAGACCAAGATGAACTTGCTGCAGTGATACAAGTCATGAACGCCATTTCAGTAGTGACCTAGTGCAGGGCTGGAAAGAGATACTTTGGGCTGGCATGAGATGCCTTGGGCCCTATTTCTTCCACTCTTGTGATGAGTTCCTTCTTGCCATTTTCCTCATAGGCCCGACACCTCTCCCCACAAGCTCGCCGCCGGCTGCATGCTGCCCTAGCATCTTGCTCTACCTCGATGCTGATCCTGTTCAACCTGGTGTTCCTTGGGGGCATTCAGGTTGGGAGAACCTACTGGGACAGGATCTTTGTGCAAGGTGAGTTGCCAGACAGTGCTGTATGCACTCAATATCTTGTTCTCCACATGTACATTTTGTATCACAGATGGGATGTGGGAGAGTTGCTCAGTGTTGTATGCTAAGTGTGTGACCTAGAAATGTTAGCCAGAAGCAATTTCCTGTGTATCTCTGACTTTGTTTCCCTGTTTTTGATGTACCTCCTATCTTTGATACTTTAAATGCACCATCCCAACTCTCTTGAGCTTATCCCAACTCTTTTTACTTTTCTTCCTACTGTTTCTAGACCCCACCTCCAGCAGGAGTCTAATTTTGTTCCCTTACTGCCCCAAACATCCTCCTGGAATTATGCCTCGAAGCCCCAGTGTGCTCCCCTGAGACTGTGAGCCTGGTCCCTGTGTTTGCCACAGCTCTTGTGGATATCCGTGCCTAAAAACTAGCTGTCCACCTACATGTAATGTACACATGTAGTGAACTGACTCAAGGCCCATGGCAAAGCCACCCCCTCAGCAGGTAAAATGCTAGTATGTGGAGTTGTACAAATGGTGTCATAATAACTGATCACAATTTCCTTTGGGCTGGGACTAAGAGAGACATTGCTTTCTTCAAGGACTTGGGAGACATGGAGCTGCTCACAGTGCCCATTACTGAGGCCAATTCTGTTTTGAAAGAAGATCCCCCTGCCCCATTTCTCTGACCAGTGATATGGTGTTGTGCTCTGGGTTTTGAGAAGCTTTGCTGAGCAGTGCTGATGAGGTTCCACACAGCTGGCTTATTATCTTCACATCTGGGTCCCTGAGAAGCCACCGTGCTTTTGCTGCAGCTCTTTCATGCCAGAAATAACCCCAGTGCAGCTGCACGGTTCCTGATTGCCAGCTCATGAATCTCAGCTCGGCCTCAGAAGAGCTGATCTACTTCAGTCTTGTTACTAACAGTCTTTGCTTTCTGAGCAATGTTTCAGCTGATAGCTCCTGAGAAGACTGTATGCCTTTTAAGTGGAAGCTGTCCTTCAGTGCAAATGGGAGATAATGGCTGCAAAGGCTCTAAAGACAGAGGAGGAGATGGTGTCTTTTACTTTTCTTGCCTCCTCCCACAGAACCTCACCCATTACCGTCCTCGCTGTGGCTCTGGGGAAAATGCTGTTTTGAGGTTTGCTCACCACCTAGTAAGATGGCTCTGGTTTTTGCTTCAGTAAATCTTAGGTACTGGGTGGTGGCTATTGGCAAGGCACTGAACATGCAAGGAAGGAAGCCTCCCTTGGCTTCCAAATGTGGGAGCCAAACATGCAAACAAAAATGTGGCAGTTGACTGAGGCCATTGCTGTGCCAGATGCAATGCAAGTTGCCACAGGCAGTGGAATGGAATGACTGGCTTCCCACTGAAGATGGATGTCCCAGAGGTGGTGGCATTTAAATTGGAACATTAAGTAGGAAATTGCCAGTGTGTTTTGGGTAATTAACATTGGCTGCCCTACCAGACACTCCAAAATATCAGTCAGTTTTCACTTTTGAAGTTTTTCTCTCAGAGTTCAATATAAATCCACTGACTTTTTCTAAGCCTTGATTCAAAATGTGCATTTTTGGTTCTCCACCATCTTGCTCTGGTGTCATGGAGGAGGAGAACATGGGGCTTACATACTCACCAATAAAACTTCAGAAATAAGTGACATATCTGCTCATGCTGCATTGGCCAGAGCCTGCCACATGAGCAGCCCAACCAAGTACAAGGTCAGGAGATGGGGGGCCCAAGTGGATAGGCACAGTGCGCATCAGTTGTCTTAGGCACATGGTAGCCAGCTGAGCAGCCCAAGAGGCCATGAAAATATGAGTTGGAGTTGGGAAGAGGTGGGCTGATGATTGAGGTGTGACAGCCAAGGGCATGAAGATTAGAGGTGTCGCAGGTGGGGCCATGGTAGTGGGTCCCGTGAGCAGAGAGCTGTGTGAAATGAAATGAGAACAGGGCAAGAGGCCAACCTGGGGCCTGCTGGCAAATAAGGGGGCAGAGAGAAAGGCAGCAGCTAAAAGGAGTTCTTTCTGCTTCTGGAAGGCAGGAAGATTGCAGCCTGACTTGCTTTGCACCAGTAATCGGGGCTGTGAGAAGTTTGTTCTGCAGCTGCATGGGGATCCTTCTGTGGCCTATGACAGGACACTGTGTCCTCTGGGGACTTAGGCAGAGTCTTGCAGACTCTGATTTCCTAAATACATTGAAATCATTTTTCTTCTGGGTCCTGAAGCCAGGGAAGCTCAGCTTGGAAGTCATTTTCTGCATCAGGAATTCTCCAGCTGAACTTGCTTGGCTTCCAGCTGGTTCATCCCATGGGCCTTCTCAGTCAAGGGTGTCCACCCAGCTCTGGCTATTGCCCGCTTGTCTGTTTCCTGCCAGGAGCCTCTGTCCTGGGCAGACTGGATTTTGCTGTCTCTTAGAAGGAAGTAAACTAAATGCTGCTAGGCCGCCGCTCCTGGAGACCCTGGATTTCATCTTATAATAATTTGAACTGGTAGGAAATTGTTGTGAATATTCATGTTTTGCTGCCAAAAATTTGAGTCCATAGGATTCTTCTTCAGGCTGTGATGAGGGTGTCAAAAAATATGAATTCTGAAATTAATCTGCATCCAAAGGTTTTGGATAAGGAATTATTGATCTATACACATAACTGCTGGGAACTGAGCCTGGACCTGGACAGCCTGTCAGTCTCTGGCCTCTTCCTTTGGTTACTTGCTCAGTTTTCATTGCTCCAAGACCCATTTCTGCATGCTTGAAGATGCAGTGGAGTAAGGAATGCGTGTGGAAAGTGGGGAGCATTTAGGCTTAGTGTGTGGGTTCCAGGCTCACTGGGAGGGGCCCCTCTGTCTATTCCTGGAGCACTGGGACCTGCTGCCATGAGCAGGAGGACCACCAGCACCACATCTGTCGAACAGATCCTGTCTCAGGAGTCCTGGCAGAGCAGGTGTCCAAGGACAGGGCCTGTTGAGAGTTTCAAAACCTCCCAGCTAATGGGATATGCACAGGCACATGTCTTAGAAGATCCAGCCTTGCTAATTCTCAGGAAGCCTTTTCCAGCAGCAGTGATGTTCCTGGAAGGTTACTCTCAGCTTGGAGCGATTGTCTTGAGGCCAGTATCTCCGTGTCTTTAGTTTGCTAAATTGAGCCGTTGACTTGTTTGTTCTGGGCTGCAGAGTTTGCTCTCGTACCTCCATAAAAATCTCTGCCCTGGTCCTGGATGGTCTGGGTGGTAGGCATGAGACTGTTACACTGGGCCCTTCCCTTTCTCCTGGGCACCTGCCCTGTCCTTCAGGAAAGTGAGAGGCAGGAATGCCAAGTGGAAAACCCAGGCACTGTCTGTGTCCTGAGTGTAACATTTTTTATCACGTTACCTGTGTTGCTGAGGTTGGAGCAGTAATGTTCAGTTAATTCAGCAGAGAATCAGGACTTTTAAAGCCTCTCTAAATTTGACCATTAAAATTTGCTTCAAGCTGCTTGAGACATGTTAGTGGGTCTGAGAAGGTCAGGGCTAGGAGTGTGACCCACCTGCCACTCTGCCCACTCTGGGAGGGCCAGTGCTGGGTTGTGCTTGGTGCTTCCCATGTAACCTCTTATCTTTCAAAATCGTGTGTGGATAGAGACTTCTTCCTGTCTACCTCAAATGCTCAACACTGAAGCAAAAGTTAATTTCCTCAAGTTGGATGAAGTGCTGCCCTGTGGTTTGCAAGTACCATTGTGACTTGAAGCTCAGCTCTGCAAAGCCAGTCCCTATAGGTCAACCATAGCCTAAGTACCCTGGTGGGGCTGTTTCCACAAGGCAAAGAGAGCAGGGAGAAAGGACGCTCAAGTGGGATGTGTATGCACTGGGAACACATCTGGCCTTCAGAGGGCTGAAAGGTGTGTAATGTTTGGGTAAGGATAGTGTTCCTTCTGGAAAGTCTGTTTCTGTGCAAGGAAGGGTGGGTTTGTAAAAGCAGAGGAAGAACTGAAAATGCCTCCAGAGAGGTGGGGCCCAGACCCCACATCGAGGGCTCTGCACTGGCCAAACTTGGCTGAGACACGCTGCCCTCCAGACATTCTCCTGCTGAGTGCTCCTCCCCGGTGAGCCTGGTTCCCTCCCCTGATTACCAGTCTCATTGGCAGACCTCCTCAGCAGCTCAGCACTCAGCTCCCACACTGACCCATCTCTAGGTCAGGAGAAGTGTGATTCTTTTTCTCCAGATTACAGTGAGGGGGCAGCTGGCAGTTTCCTTATGCAGGTCAGAACCTCCACACCCTCCATATCTGCTCGCTGTTTCTAGCTGAGAGGAGGAAGTGTATCTTCTCCCTGATTACTAGCTTGTCCAGATGCTTTATTCATCCCCTGACTCGAATAGTTCTGGACAGGCATTTTATTTAAAGCTGAGCTGAAGCATCACACCAGCAGTTTTAGAGAGTTGTGGTTAAATAGAAACTCATTCCCCTCGCATCTTCTTAAACTCTTGGTAGTAAAAATTTGACTGCTGATGAGAGAAGACAGAGGGCAGATGTCAGCACTCAGAAGCCGCCCCTTGTGACCACTTCATCTTGCTCCACTTCTCCTGTGCTCATCACTCTCACTGATTCTGCCTCCTCCCTGGAGCCTCTGAGAGTTCTAGAGGGTTTGAGGAGTGGGAGCGTCCTGCCGCCCTGTAGCTTGTGAAGCCAGCACACACTGCCGGGCCGTGTGCCGTGGACACGCTCACCCAATCCAGCCTTCCTTAGGGTCTGAGTTTAGGGTGCTGCGAGGCCTCTTCCTACACCACGTGGCCACCAGGAATCTTGGGGATCGGTTTCCTGAAGCTATTGGCAGACCCTGGGAGGCAGGAGGGCAGCCCCCGGGCGGCAGGATCCTGGGGTCACCTCGAGACTGAGGGTTTCTGACTCATCTAGAAGGGCTTTCGACCAGAGACACCGAAACATCGTCATCTACGACGTCATTTGAAATCTTCCTGCTCACCAGGATTTCTTGATTGGCTTGATGGAAGATGGACACATTTTAAGATATTTTCATGTAGAAC